GCCCCTTCTGGTTTCTAGTGTCATTCTGCCATCATGTGGTCCCTTCATTTTGCTCAATGTGGGAGTGGGGGGGGGGGAGAAGGGGGATCCCTTTCTGTAGTAACAGAGTGGTTCTGACCGTTGAAATACTGTGGTTCCTCTGAGTGCAGGTTTTAGGAGGCAGGGACTATTCCTTCTGTATGGCACAGAACCCTGTCAGGAGTTGGAGTTAGGAATGGAACAGGCAGTGGGATGAGTTAGGGTTGAACTGGATGGTTTCCAGAGAGTAGTTTCCACAGTGGCTCAACTCTATGACTTTCCGAGGAAGATTCCTCCCCAGCTTTCCCTCTACCATGGATCTCTCCAGCAACCAGCCTGAGTATCTTAGGCTGGAAACTGGGTTTGCCCCATACAGCTTGATCCTGGTCCTACAGATATCAGTACAGTTTTGACTGAGCTAACCTAAATTGGGACTTCAGGATTTGGCTCTTAATGTGAGGTGCAGAGGGCATACATGAGGCCTTCTGCCCTGGGTTGAGTGACAGTTAGTCAATTGAAAGGACCATGGGATTATTAAGAATTTTTTTCAGGCCACTAATCTTGCATGAATGGGGAGAGGTTGGAAAAGCGGAACCTGGCATTTCTCAGGACTATGTGAACTGCAAATTCCAGACTACTTTTTACCCATAAAAAGAGAGAGCAGCAGGCCTCAGCGAGAACTTACTAAATCCTGATGTAGTTGACTCCACATACTAATGTAGGGGCTTGAGGTATGAGTAGGCCCATCGTTATGTCCCCTGAAGGAAGCTCACAGGCCTTAGAAGAGCATCCGCTGCAGGTGAATTGGGGGGAGAGATTAGGTGGAAGTATACTTACCATCTCACGACCTGTAGGAACCAGATATTTTCTAACTTTGGAAATAGTTTAGTCCAGGATAAGCTCGGGGATGGGCAAAGGTTGGGAGGTGGGAGTTTTTGGTAACTTTTTCCAAACTGGTTCACCTCTCCTTCCTCCTGAATTTACAGAAACAGAAATGCCAATGATGGCTGTGACCATAAATGTTCTCCTTTAGGAGTGGCCCATTTCAATATGTTTGAGTTTGTTTCATGCTGCTGTGGTGGCTAATGGCAGTACAGGGAGGCTTTTGTAGCACTATGAGGGCTTCTGGCCGTACGGGGAGGTTCTCACAGTGCTACAATGGCTTCTGGTGGTACAGGGAGGCTTTCATAGCACTACGATGGCTTGTGGTGGTCCAGGGAAACTTTTATAGCTCTGTAATGGCTTGTGGCAGTAAGGGAAGGCTTTCATAGCACTATGATGGCTTCTGGAAGTATGGGAGGCTTTCACATATGAGAAACCATTACTGCATTCACAGATTAAAACATTTACTTAACGTCAGCATTAATACTTAACACTTGAATTGAGCATTTAACATCTGCCATTTAACATCCTGGGAGTGGTGATCAGCCAGTCGCAGGATGGGTAGCGGAGATCTCATTCAAGAAGCAGGCATCCAGCTTTATTCACAGACAAACCCATACACTCTTAAATAACAGATAGAAAAGAAGATCAGACTTACACTCCTTATTTACATTTTTCTCCAATTTGTCTATTCGTTCTCAAAGTGTGGCTGCCACAGCTGCGCTGTTGCTCTTCTGCCGCGGATGCAGTGGTGGTTACTGCTCTTCTGTTGCTGCTGTCAAGGTTGCTCCTTGTTGCCAAGGCAACCTTGGAATTCTGCTGCTGTTTTTTCACGTAGCTGCTTTCCAGGATGTTCCAGTCTTCTTTTCAAGCAGCTTCCATTCTTCAGCTTCAGCTTACTGCTTTTTGGCTGCTTCTTGAGGCTTCAAGCTCCAAAAATACCCATGTCTAAGACAACCCCCAACAGAACTCCAGGGGACCTTGGCAAGACTTCCCAGCCATCCCTACTGCCCAGACAAGCTGCCATACTCGCTGACAGTGGATTAGGGAACTACCTGTGATGTCTTCCTATCCTCAGCCCAACTTGGTCAGATCGACAGTGGTTTTTCTAGCTCCCCCGAAGAGCTCGCATTTCTGAAGACAAGACAAACAGATTTTTGATTAGAAGAGTCAATTCCATTTATTGGAGGGGAATAAAGTCATGTTACTTTTCACAAACGGGTGGTATCACCTTGCCCCTTACATGTGAAAGGACCAATGCAGTAGTTTGTGCAAAATGAGTTGGAGTGGCATAGGGTCTGTGAACAAGCGGCGTACTCACCTTCTCTTCTGATTTCCACACCCACTACCCTTGTGGAGGTAGTGGAGGCTTATGAAGGAGTCTTTCTGCCCTCATGTGGTCTCTGTTCCCCAAATGGTATTTTCTACATGGATGTCTTCCTTGGGGCAGGGAAGAAGAACCAGCTAGTGACTCAGTGACTGCTGAATCTTTGATTCATATACCTTATGGGGCTGCTTTTCAGATGATGGCTCAGGCCCAATGGAATCCCTGGTAAGTGGGAGGCTAAAATAGCTTCCATTTCACCTGACATTTGTCCACTGAGTGAGGCCTACACTATCCTGGTACACTGCAGGAGTCACACCACTGATATGGGCAGGGATAGCAAATTACTGTGGGCACCTCAGGTTGTCTTTTCTAAGGAAGACTTTCTCCTACTGCCTAAGAGCCTCTAGTCTTGGGACTCTATTTCCCGATGTATAAATTACCTCTGTCATCTAAAATAAACGATCTTGCAGTTGTGAAGTTATCTGTTTCCTGTTACTTTTTCTTGTGATCACTGAACTTCTGCTTTCCTCTCTCTTCACAAGAAATTTTTTAGAATTGGAGACAAAACCAAGAAGAGGAAACCTTTGTAACCCTTCCTCACAGAAGAATGTATTTTTTGGTGATCCTGACTTTTCTAGGACGAATTACTGGTATGTTTCCTATTAAGAAAAATTGCTCATTTCTATGCATATCTCACTTTCTTAATTCTTAAGAGTATTTTGTGTCATTCATTTTCTGGGATGTTTAATCTAAACACGTACTGAAGTGTAGCATAAATATGAAATTAAAGAATTAGAGTTGGTTTAAGTTTGGTTAAGAATAGATTGTGTTATAAAGAAAGGCCCTGACTAGCAAGTAGAAGGAAAGCCTTGAAAATAATAAGGCCAAAAGACATGGAGTAGGGAGGATGGCTGGTTCAAAAAATAATTAATGAGATAAGGAAATTTCTAAAAAGAATGCCTCTGACTGACAGGGTTGTCTGCAGATGGTTTTAAATAAGGCAAAGAGAATCTGTCTTAATAGGAGCCAGCTTGGACCTTTCCACCCCACGTACCTGTATGATCTTAAAAGTAAAGCCTGGGTGAACCCGAGTACAATGAAAAAGCTGTTGGACAATAGGGAGAAGGAGAAGAGATAAGGAGCAAAGATCTTGGGAGAAAGCAGGTTATAAACCTTATCTGGATTAAAACTGAAAATTAGGGTGAACTGTCTCTAATTATCCATTAGCTAATTTTTTGAAGGGCATAAAAAGTTATGAATTTGAGGGTTGTCACACCCTACCACCTGATCATGCTTGTGCACACCAGGACTAGATGGTTTTCCCTAGGTCTGGCCTATTTGTAAGTGATCACATGCTTATGAATACTTTGTTACTGTATTGGATGTAGTGACTGCTTATTTTAAGGCTGACAGGCATGTTTAGAGGCATGTTAAAATACTATTTGGTCTTTGGACTTAATAAAAGAATTTATAAATTAGTGTCTGGTGGTCTCCCATATTAATAAATAATAATTCAACAAAGTATTTCCGATTGCAAGCTACATTTACTGACTTAAAAATGTTGTAAAAGGTTATTTTCTCAACCAATAAATGGACTGGGGAGGGGCATTAGAGATGTCTGGAAAGTGCATTTGTGTGAAATACGGAGGGGGAGGGTTAGGGGAATGTTTCAAAAGTGCACGTAGCAGGTGGCAAAGTTAAATGGGAATGGGGAGTTTTTACTGGTGGTTCCCAGATCTCTCTTCCTGAGCAATAGATCCAGCAACAGCCGTGGGATGCAGTCAATCTATGGCTACACCAGGGTCTGTGGGAACACTTGTGCAACAAAAGCAAAGATATCAGCGTGAACTCTTTCTTCGGTTTTGTCAAGTGGCAATAACATTTTATATTGCACTAAGCAAAAGTGAGTCACTTTTTAGGGAAGCGATCTCTATATTTGGGTCAGATCTTGCCTCCCTTACTCAGAAGGAGTAGCACCTTTCTTGCTCCTCCCAGCGATAAGGGTCACAGAGTCTGGCCCTCAGTGAGCTTGCACAGTGCTAATATATTACATGTCACCAACTACCATTTTGCTAAGGAAATTTTCAAAGAGAGTTAGAAATTGCATTCAGCCCTATTTATTTATTTCATTGAATATGGGCTCAAACCTGCTACTTGTGAAATCAAAGAGTCCCATAGACTTATAAGGAAGCAGGACTGGGTCTTAAAAATACACAAGTTCTGAATGTGACTGACCAGTGCTTCCTTTTTTTTTTTGGTACAAAAATATTTTTTCCCCAGCTGTATGTGCATAACTGAGCTTCAAACACAGCTTTGTGCTAGCCAAAGTCACACCCACAGCTGAGGAGGAGAGAAAAGATATATTAACTGTCAACCTCTAATTTTGCTTTTGAAAGTATACATGGGATATATTGTGTATCATGTGTCTTGGGCCATTGTTTTCTTCTTATTGAGTACCTTTCCTAACCACGCCTTTATTAAGCTAAATTAATACATTCATACAATAAACACCCCAATAACCAGTTCAAGACACAGCATCAATAAAATATCATAGGGCAGGATCAAATCAGTCATACCCCGATTGGCTAAATCTACCCCCAAGAGATCCAACAGAAGCTATTTTAAGTAATTTTCTTAGGTCTTTGTGGCAAGGACTCTCCTATGAAAGGGAACTGCTTTATAAGGGGGAAAAGTCCCATTGGGGCACCATCCTGTTGTGGGAGGCAGAGAATAGGCCCTGAAAAGTCAATCTGCCTTTCACTCTGTTCAGAAAGAGCACAATAGAGGAGGTTGGAGGGCTCATGGTCTAGTGCAGGGAGAGTCTGTCACAGCGTCTGCTCATGGCAGAAGGATGCTGCGGAGAGAGAGGAATGCAGGGCCTGTTGGGGCTTTTGTAGTTTGGACAAGTATTAACCTTCTAGACTCCATGGCTGGCAAAACATCCTCAACTTTGCTGGTCAAAATTTGACAAAATTCAAATTCTGATAAAATTTTACATAATTTTGAATTTCAATGGATAAAAAACTGGAAATAAAATGTTATGACTATTTTCACAACCTTCTAATCAAAACATGAAATTTCAATGAAAAAAAAAAAGTGGACTATATTTCCCTATCTTTCAACCAGCTGTGGTTCTAAACCCCAATTTATTCAGTACTGTATTTAAAAAGCTGTGAAAATACAAAAGCTAAAATGCTTTGTCTATTTACTTACCATCATCTATGCTTATATTAACATAGCTCTAAGTATGCTTAATTTTTTGCAGCAGACCAGCCGGAGGAGCTCATGCACAGTTTTTTGTTGCATTTCACCAAAATGGTGATATTTTATAATAATGCTACAAAAATTTCGGAAAGAGGATTGGAGGCATAATCGTGACAACAGTGCCTCTTCGACACATGCCTCAAAGCCTTTGTAATTCACATGTAGGCCCCGATTCTGTAATCAGTAATGGCAGGTGAGTAACTTTATGCATGTGAATAGTCCCACTGAATTTTGGAACTGTTCATATGCACAAACGTTCTCAGGATCAGGGACTTAATCTCTATGTAGTTTGCTAAAAGTTAACTAGCAAGGGCCAGATTTTCTAAGTGAAAAATGCAGTTTTGTGCCATGGCTGCTTGTGATTAGCCATTGGTCAAGGGAATTAATAAATATGGAAATTGTTAGTATAAGAATACTGTGACAAAGTTCCTCCTCTATCTTGGTGGGTCCTGCGCTTATTGGCGGATTTTCCTGCCTCAGAGATTCACCATGTGGATT